GTGTCAGGAGGTGTGTGATGCAAAGCCATGCACAGCAAAAGCCAGAGCCGCTCAGGAGGAAGAGGGCTGGAACCAGGTCATCAAATAAATAGGGACGTCCGCCCCTCCTCCTCGGCGCCTCCAGCCTCAGCTGTCCGGTGGGAGCAGGAGGGTCCTTGGGGAAGGGAGGAGGGATACGGCCTGGGCTGGACCCTTCCCACGCACGTACACGCCTCCCCTCCCCTCCTCCCTGCTCCATTGTCCCCTCCCCTCCACAGGGGATGGGGGGGGTCCTGTCCCAGGAGTGGAGGGGGGCGGGCAGGCGGCTTCCCCTCCTTCCTTCTGGAAGCGCCCTGGCTATTTCCTGGGCTTCTTGAAAATCTTGAGGGGGAACTTCTTGCGGCCTTGACCCGAGGAGTCGGTCTCCTCCCCCGTGGAGCCGCTGTCTTCCTCGCCGCAGGTGCCCGGGCCCTTCTTGCCAGCTAGGTGGGGGATGCGGCTGTTGCTCTTGCTCCCCACGCTGTTGTTCGGCCGCCCATCCGAGGTTGGGGAGGGCGTCTCGGGCTCGGTAGAGCTTGGGCTGTGCGACCGGGAGGAGTCGGAGTGGGCGTGGCGGGTCCCCGCGGCCCCCGGCCCCGAGGGGCCGATCTCCCCGAGGCTGGACGCCTTCTCCAGGCCGTGGTTGAGCATCATCACCTTCTTCATCAGGATTGGGCTCTCCGGCGGGGCCGAGGGGTCTGGGGGCCGGCTGCTGCTGCTGCTGCTGCTGCTGCTGCTGCTGCTGCTGCTGCTGCTGCTGCTGCTGCTGCTGCTGCTGCTGCTGCTGCTGCTGCTGCTGCTGCTGCTGCTGCTGGGGGGTCCTCCTCCGAGGGCCAGGAGGCTGCAGGCGGCTCCATCCTCCACAGACTTGTTGAGCAAGGCAGGCCGCGGGGGCAGCAGCTTCCCTGCCGAGCTGGAGGTGCGCTGGCTGTCGCTCAGGTGAGGGATGGAGGAGTCGGAATCTGAGCGAGACAAGTCTCTGTCGGAGAAGAAAAGGAGAGAGAGAGTGAGAGAGAGGAATCAGGATGGGGTCTGGAAGCAGTTGAATCACGCCCCACACTCTACCAGGCAGCCCCCCCTCCCTGCACAAACACCGCGACTGAGCTGGGTAGGGAAAAGTAAGGCGCCTCCTGTCCAAGCTACCTTCTCTGGCCAGCAGCACCGACCTGCAGGGGCAGCAGCTGGGCCGGCCGGAGAAAGCAGGCAGCCCTAACCCTAACCTTCGCCTGCCGCCTCTGACCCCTGGCTGGCTCTTTCTGACCAGTTCCAACCTCCTAGCTTCTTATAGCCTCTACGGCTGGGGATGCCGAACCCCAGCGTCCAGTCATCACAGAACAGGCCCCCTTGGACGGCCTTCCGCTCTGCCTCCCATCCCAGGCTCTGGCTTCCACTAAACACCTGTAAACGTACATCATCTTGTTTATTTGCCAACTACAAAGGGTCAAGGGGACTCTGTCTCAACTGGTTTGGCCGCAGTCTATGGCCCCACAGCCTGAGCTGCTTTTCTCACTGAATGTCAGGACCCCACCCACCCCGGCTGCCCGCCCAGCGACAGGGCAACTCCAGAAGAGGTGGCCAGAGACCTGCTGAATGCCACTACAAAGGGGTGCTTCAGCCCCAGTCGGCTGCTGCCTGAATCTGAGCGGGAGAAAGAAAGATCTGGGCAGACTCCCAAAGGTGACCCGACCCAGGGGATACATTTCCGGCACACCTTGGCCCGAGGACGCTCCGGCTCCAACAGAGGTCGGCTTCACCAAGGTTTCGCAGGAAGGTGCCAAGCTTTCCCTCCTGCCCCGGCACCAGCCCACGGCTGCTCTCAGAGGCGGATGGCAAGGAGCCACGGAATCTGCCCCGCCAGCAGGGCAGGAAAAGGCCCCCCCTCCGTTTGGGCTGCTCTAAAGCAAAGCCCCAAAAGGAAAAGGGATGGGAGGGGGCTTCGGTGGAAGGGCTGCACAGATCCCGGGCTGGAACGATGGAGTGATGCTAAGCAGCAGAGGTTCTTAATGAGATCCCACAGCCTCGGCTCCAAACTCCCAAAACTGGGCCCTGCAGCTGGGGGGGCTGGGGCAAAAGATGGGGGGGGAACCAAGTCCTCTCCCTCGGTAACTCCTGCCATGTACAATCCAGCGGAATGGCATACCCCAAGGCCAGCAGAGGGAAGGCATGCATGCACACACACTACGCTCTCTTCCTTCCACCTACCCAAGGCCCAATTTGGCATCATCAGGTGACCCACAAGCACTTCTAAAGGTGGCAGGAGAGGTGCCTGCTCAAACGGAGACAGACCACACCACACCAAAGTGCCAGAAGGATTAGTAAAGGCTGCAGCCCCCCTCCCTCTCCCTCTCGGAAGGTTACAACACACATGGAGCCCACATGGCGGGACTTCTGCAGGAGGGTCAAGGTGGCTGCAAGGGGGAGTAAAAGGGCTAGCTTTCTTTCACTCTCCCCTGACCCCACCCCACCAGGCACGGCTTGCAAGCAAGCAAGCAGGAGGCCACACACAAGAAAGCCACGGCAGGCTCGCCCCCTCCTGCCCCGGCCCTGCAGCAGAGCAGCACGGAGAGCAGCTGCGCCCGTGCCAAAGGGGCCTCAGGGAGGCTCTGGGAAGGCCCGCCGGGCCGGGCTGGAAGCCGAGCGGTGGGGCAGCCGCGAGGGGCCAAACACCATGCCAAGGGCCATGCCACCGCACACGGTACCCAAAGCTCTCCGCACGACAGCGTGTCCCAGAAGTGACGTCGGGCGGGGGCAGGTTAGGGAGGCTGTCCATCTGGAAGATGTAAGAGGAGCTGGTGTGATGGTAAAGGATCGGGAGCGTGTGGCAGGTGGAGGCAGAGGAAGTCCCGTGGCTGGCAGTGGAACAGCAAGGAGGAGCAGGACCAGGAGCAGGAAGGGAGGCCACGGGGTTGGCCGTGGCGGCGGCGGCGGCACTGTGGACCTCGGAGCTGAACGGTTGGCCGCCGGAGAAGCTGGGCATTCGGCGCATCGTCACCCTGCCCGCTGGCAGGTAGTGGACCAGCGGCCCTGAATCACCCGGGCCGGCGGGCGCCTGGTGACTTTCTACCAACCTCTGAGATCCCAGGGAGTGCTGGGGGTCCACAAGGCGCTGGCGGACGGTGCTCGGCAAACAGGGCGCTAAACCGGGAGAGAAAGAGAAAACAGCACCCAGGTGTCAGATCGGGAGGCCATCCTGGGGAAACAGCAGCCAGGGAGGGTGCAGGTGAGAATGTCCCCCTCCCAGCCATTCCCACAAACGCCTGGCAGAGGGTAGCCCCCATCACATGCGTGGTCACAGCTGGTGCGCCCCCTTCCCCGAGAAACACTGCTCTCACTACTCCTCCCAACCCAGATGCTAGATCACCTCCTCTTGCCTCTCATCCTGTCATCCACAGGGAGGGAAAAGGGGGCTTTCCTTCCATCCTTCTTTCTCTTTTCCTTCCTTCCTTCCTTCCTTCCTTCCTTCCTTCCTTCCTTCCTTCCTTCCTTCTTTCTCCACCTCCTTTTTGGCTTTCATGCCAGTAGAACTTATCCAAA